ATATGATGCAAATGTATTTTGATAAGTTCAATGCCGATGTAAATATTGATATTCACGTGGTCAGTGGCCAAGTACTTAGAAAGCATCTAACAAATTATTTTTTAAACAAAAACGGCATTGATATTGGTAGTGGTGTCTGATCATCTTCTTGAGATTGAGATTGGTTTTCTACTGGTTAAAACATTAAATTTTTCAGCAGTTTACTACATATTTTTTTTTTTTTTACTCTCTGTTTAAATGAATAATTTATTTATGTTTTTTTTTTTTTGGTATTTCATGGTTTAAGCTTCGTAATTGGGTTGCGACCTGTGGAGCTTATATGATAATAATAATAATAATAATAATAATAATAATCAAGAAGCTAATGAGGCAGAACATGCTAAAATTATCAATTATATTCCTAGTGAATTGCGTTGTGAAAAAGATGAAAATGTGGCGGCAAAAGAGAACACTCCAACTGAGAATTATTCGGATGATTACGACTTTCTTAAAAGACCGGACGTTATGGAACTGAATATGTTTTTTAATCATCATCCTGTCATCCCAAAAAATCAAATAGGATTGCCTTTTAAAGTTGATAAGGCTTTTAAACGCGAAAATGGAACTAATAGAGTATGGTTGACCTACAGTTTCTCGAAAAAAGCTTTATTTTGTTCAGTTTGTTTAGCTTTTGAAAGCAAAGAAACAAGTAGCTTTAACTCTAACTGCGGCATGGTGGATTGGAAACATGTTTACCAGCGAATTGAAGAACACGAACGAACTATTCTACACGGGAAAAATTGTGATGGATATTTTATGCACCTGAAGAATAAAACTATAGACAAGTTATTATACAGTCAATATCTCCACAAGCGCAATCAGGAAGTGATCAACAATCGAAAAATATTAAGTACTATTATCAACGTCATTAAATTTATAGGCAAGACAGGCCTTTCTTATAGAGGAAATTTAAATGAGGCCCCATATTCATTAGAAAATGAAAATATTGACCATGGAAATTTTCTTGAAATAGTTTTATTAATATCCAAATATGACATAATTTTGAAAAAACATCTGGATGTAATCATCAAAGCCAGCAAAAGAGCTCATGAAAAAGGTAACACCCGAAGAACTGGAAATTTTTTAACATTCCTATCAAAGACTACAATAAATTCAATAATCTCTATTATAACTAAAATTATGAAAAAGAAAATGTCAGTGGAGATTTTAGAAGCCGAAATGTTTTCTGGTGAAATAGATTCTACGCAAGATATTTCCACAAAGGAGCAATGCTCGGTTGTTATAAGGTAAGATAGTGAAATTTTTATATATGTAGCATTAAACATTAACATTTTTGTATTTTTGCCAGATACGTTTACATGGGAAATATTATCGAACGATTATTTTCGCTAATTCGATGTACCGATACAACTGGAAAAGGTTTTGAGGCTCTTGTCTTAAATGTATTGGAAAGTAATGGCTTAAATCCTCAAAACTGTATTGCAAATTCGACAGACGGCGCGGCAAATATGCAGGGAGAATATAATGGTTTTTCTGCAAATATGCAAAACCTCAATTCAGACCATGTGCACATTTGGTGTTACAGTCACATTCTAAATCTAGTCCTGTGTGATATATTGAATGCAAATTTAAAAGCTGCTTCACTTTTTTCTTTATTAAACTCGATATCTTCTTTCTTTAAAGAATCTTATCAACGTATGAACATTTGGGAGTCTAATAATTCTACTGATTCAAAACAAAGAAAGATTCAAAGTATTGGTGCAACCCGTTGGTGGGCTAAGGAACTGGCGCTTAAGAAAATATTTGGAGATTTTAATAAACCGGAAAACAGTTTATATGTTGTTGTTATTGATACTTTGGAAAAAATTGAAAAAAATGATAAAATTAATCCTGACACCAGGGTTACAGCTAAAAATCATAAGGATAATTTATTGAAATACGAAAATATAATCACTGCGCAAATATTTTTAAAGATTTTTAGTATAACTGGTCCTCTGTCAAGATATCTGCAAACTAGAGGATTAGATCTTCTTAAATGTAACCACATGTTAGAGACGACTATCGAACAACTGAGGTCTATACAGAGAGATTTTATCTCTATCCAGGAGGCTACAAACACATTTTTACGTTGGGCTAAATTAGAGTTAGAGTCAAAAGACATAGATGCAGATATACAGGAACATTTCACTAACGTACGTCGAAGATACGAAAAAAAATTTTATGAAGAAAAATCAGTTGATGAGCAGCCACAATCTCCAGAAGAAAGATTTAAGATATCTACTTTTAACGTGTTAATGGACATTGCGGTTGAAGCCATGAATAATCGATTTTTAAACAATATGGATATATGTAAGGATATGGCAATATTAGATCCCAATAATTTTGAAGAAATTTGTAACAAAAAAAGTTTGCCAGACAACTGCATGAAGTACTTGTCCGCGAAAATAATAAAATATAATTCGACTGCAACTTCTTCCCAGTTTAAAGAGGAGCTTTTAAGTTTTGCCTCAAATTGGGAGAAATTAAAATTAACTTTGGAGGATACGTACAAGACAAATTACGATCTAGATCTACACAGTGGCGGCTGGTGACATTTTGAAATCGGGGAACACAATTTGATTGATGAGTTAAATATGAAGAAATTAACCAGGTTGTCATTACCAATTAATAGACGAAATTGTGTGACGGAAATAAATACAAAAATACATTCAATAAAAATAAAAAAGGATTTCTCCACATACCCTTTTGCCTTCGGTGTTCATGGCATCTAAAAGTTCATTTTGGACAGTTTTAGGCGTTCCTTTAAAAACCGTTGCTTGTTTCAAATGACCTAATAAAGTCGAATTCAGCCATAAAATCAATCAGACCTCGAAATATATCTGGATTTTGTGATTCCCTACTTTCGTCATGTCCACGTAAAGCAAATTCAAACACTCCACAAAATTTTATGCACATTATCAATCGGCGTAATATATGGCGATTTTTGTCGACCCTTGCGTTATGTGCCCGAATATTATTAATATAGGTAAGCGGTGTGTAGTTGTTTCCGAATGTCTCTATTACCGAGAAGATTATCCAAGAATATTTATCATACGTGTTCGCGCAGAAGGAAAATTAAAACCCGCAGTAGTAACCCAATCCTCCAGAGCACGATCGCAATGGGCTCACAAGCCAGTTGTATCAGGCGCATATCAAGCGGCCACGACGTGTACTTTCCATTGCACCGGTGTAAACAAAACATCTAAATTGGTCATGATTCGGTCCATTCGGTCTCTGTGCTCGGCTTTTATCAGCATTTCATCAGAAATAACATATCATATATCCAAGGCACTTTTTAGATGCAAGTGGAAGTAAGTTTTGATACATTTTATACAAGTGGAGCGAGATAAAAAAATTAGTTTTGATAATTATGACACAAATTTCCGGATAATTTTTTAAATATTGAAAATTACAATTTTGCTATGTCCAGTGTGTTTGTAGACGTTGTAATTTTGGGGGGGCACGTGCTCTTGTGCCCCCCGGCACCAGCCGCCCCTGGATCTACATATCATTGAGGACGACTATGATGATGAGGATGGTATCGATACTGTAAATTTACCTAATTCTTCCGCAATTACGGATGTTAAACTGAAAAAAAATATTTGCAAGAGTTGCAAAAACTGTGCAATATGTTGCTACACTGTTATTTTGAAATATAACATGTTCCAGGGGGCATATTGTGCACTTGCTACAGCGTATCAGTATCTCCTAACACTTCCAATAACTCAAGTGGAGTGTGAGAGATCGTTCTCGGTTCTGAAATATATTAAAAATAGATTAAGAAATAGATTAACAGATGACCGACTGGAATCTTTCGTCATCATGAATGTGGAAAAATCCATTTTAAATACAGTTGATAATGAAGAAGTCATTAACAGTCTTGCGGCAGAGAGTAGTTTGTTAAAAAAAGCTTTAATATATTAGATTACATAGTTGTTAGTTCGATTTTGCTAATTTTTTGTGAAATATAGGTTTTATTTTTTGTGAAATGCATTTTTTTTTTGTAAAGAGTGAATATCTTTTTCACATTACTCATGATTAATTGTGTCTGACAAATATCGGTTTCCTCCGCAACAAAAATAAAAAAATTACTTTTCAGTCTGGGCCGTACTTGTTATTTTCCCGGGCCGGAAGACTGTACCCCATCCGTCCCTGCTTTCAACACATGTAGTCCCTACATTCATACCAGTAGGTCTTGTTTTATTATTTTCGCCTCATTAAAAAGAGATAGGGGTATAATTTTTTAAAAGGTACTCTCAGGAGAAATTAAAAAAAAAGTTGTATGACACATCCGTGAATATTATCTGTATATACCTATACCTACGTAAGTTTCTAACAATAGGTATATTTAGAATTTGGAAGAATTTTTACGATCGTACTATTTATTAAAAATAAAGTAATATTTTGAAGATATTATACCAAAATTTGAAAACAATCATTTTATTTCGTGTAGTAAAACGTAAACAAAAAAGTGTAACTCCAATCATAAGGTTATTTGAAACGTTTATTGTACAAAGAAATTTATTTATTGTTACTTGACATATTTTTTACAATCTCGAAGTTGTCGGAGCTTGAATATCTCGTACTTTTAAAGTATGATGATTGATGAGAAAGAAGTACAAAATTGACGTAATGTAAGTCCTTGTATTCTTGATTGTAATTAAATTAATAAATTTTTCGGATAAATACGTTCCTGCACCTTCAACATCGGTTTTGAAACCAAAAAGAATCCAGACAGTCACTTTCAGTTACCAAACAGTAACCACGACTGTTTTACGATGGGTACCCTCAACCACGTGAATGGTAATCCTAATGATGGAGGAATTTTTTACTTTTCTGAATCCCTGATATACAAAAACCGTTTCATCTGCGATGCACTACCTGGTGTATAACACAGCGTGTATATTGTATTGCCTATATCCATAAACGCTATCTATGATTATGTTTTCATGTTAGATATGAATCACATCTCATTTGTGGTATTCCTTTTGTAAGTTTGTAATGTTAAATTTTTATCGCCTCCACAAGTGGCAATTTTCTATTACGAATGCGCCAGTGCTATTAGAAAAACGTGAGGTTAGGAACCCGATTTGACATTTCGTTTTGACATCAACACAGCTGACACCCCCAGCAATGTGTCTTCTACAAGAAGAAAGTTACACTATTTTATAAAAATAAATATTGTTGTCTGCAATAACCTGTCTGCGAAAAGATAATAAAGTCGTACGTATAAATATCAAGACAAATGATCTTAATACTTTTACCCAATTGACCTTATCAGCATAATTTTCTTTATTCCAGGAGATGAAAAAATGATGCCCATTAAAGATAATCAAGATGTTGCATGCTTTTTCGTCACAAAACACTCCTGGAAAGGAAAGTAAGTAGTTAGTAAATGAATTAAAGAAAGCAGTCTGAGTCTGCCATTCCAGGTATAAAAGAATATTTTCGGTGGGCACAATGGGGATCACTACCTATAACCCATCAACCCTGGAGGTGACGAATAGGTGGGCATACAGTGACTTTATTTCAGTACAGCCCCAGAAAGGGGCTGGGAATTCTTCTAGTGAGTTTATTATTACTATGAAAAAAGAGCGAAAGATAGATCATATGAAATTTTCAACGGAACACAGAGCACAACTGCTAACAGAAGCTCTTAAATTTAGGCATAGTTTTGCAGAAAAACCAAAGGAAATTCTAGTAAGTGAATTTAAATACGCTGATATGTATCTGTTGAAAAATACCAGCTTTATCTAAAGTATCCTATTACCTTGTTATTTATTTATAGCGTTATCATGCATATAAACATCATTGGTCAGATGTTCGGTTGCCCATAGTATTAGAAGTAACACCTTACTCACTCGATCAACTTGATCCAGCAACAAATCATGTATTAGCCAGTTACTGTTTTAAAGATTTCGAAGGAATTTGCACGATATCTGATTATCCAGGTAAATATTTTACTCACTTAAAAATTAAAAAATAAAACTTTTTTTACCCAGTAAATGAACCTTATCTATATTTTAATTTTATTTTATTATTTACTCAATTAAAAATAATTTTTATAATGGTATTTATATTTTCCACTTTTTAGAATTAACAAATATTTTTAAACCACATTTAAACACGTCATTTCAAGTAATAACAACTGTGGTTAAATGACGTAATGACTGAATCATTCAAGAAATAATTAATCAATTATTCTGTGATACATGTTTATGTAACTTTTATTAATTTGACCACTTTGGGTTCCTTAAATTTCCAGTCTATTAATTCCCAAATTAAATTAAAATTAAGAGACTAAACAGAATGTGTCCATATTATCTTTTTACAATTTAGCTACAAATACATAAAGGTCGCGACTTTTCAAGGAAAAATATGTGTAGAGTATATGTTGTATTTTGTGTTTTTAATATATTAATAATATTAAAATGTGGTAATTCCACCATTTCCGATTCTATTTTTGGTGATTTTCTTCTTTCTAACCGCATCTAACATCCGCATCGCATGTTTATTTACCTGTACTTTAACAGTATACACATATATTTATTTTAACATACAAGGATATCAAAATAAAATTCCCAAAATTCAATTTTATAATTTTTCAAAGAAATTTGTTCCCCTGTACTTCAGTTTCTGTCTAAAAGACATTAGAACAATTTTTTTGGTTTGTTACACGCTCTTATAAAAGATTAAAAATTTTAAATTACTCCAACGGCAGATATATTTTTTGTAATCTGTAACACAATGTCCGTTATATCGTAAAAAATGTAAATTATCCTCTTAACGGAAAATTAATCAGCACAAAATAACGTAATTAAAATTCTAATTTAACGTACATATTTAAATTTTTTAAACTTTATAATTCACAAAAAGACAGGAAAACAACGGGGCTGGTGCTTTTTAAATAATAAAATGAGGTAATGAATTGTTTATATGAACCAAAAATTCAAACAATTTGGAGTTCGTTTGGCTGAAAGTCCTATCGAAACGTTTTAAATGAATACGATGTCGAGTCTACATAGTGATAATAATTTACCAAGATTCAAAGATTTTAAACATTGTATTGAAGATACGTACACATACAAAATAATTCAGTCACATGAGGATAGCATAATTAAATAATGTTCAAGTATAAAACCAAGAAGTATTGACATTTATTGATAAAATTCTTTTGCATCACATACACACATTAACTACTAAATAATAATAAGTTACGTTATTTTTGACATGTTTTATAACTTCACCATAGCATGTTCGGGTGATAAATGTGTGAGAAAAAATATGCAAATAATGTAAAAAACGATACATTTATTTGCTTCGTTCTATACTATCTAACAGCTGCTTCATGTGGAAATCTATTTTTAAGAAGTATATTTATGTATGTAGAAATTACTTCACTACTTACAATATCCGATTCCTTTTAACATTAAAAATCGATACCGGCAACGCAATAACACTTTTGATTCTATTTTTACACACTAATCACCTTGTCGTTAAACTTAACTTACGGCTTACAGATATCTCAACTAATAGGGGAGCATGGGAAAGAAATCGGACAGTGTCTTTGTAGTTTAACACTTAGAATTACAGACTTTATTTTATCACTGTTTGATATGAATTATGGCCATCATTACCTACAGAACGTGCGTAATGTGTAGCAAACTTAATCGGCACCGTAAAGAAAGGAATCGTTTTGACACCCGGCGCGCTATAATAATACAATGTTTATCCCCCCAGATAATGCCAACGTGGTTGACAAATATTTTATGTGTTTTCGATGTTGTGGGGATAACCGTTATATAACCGTAACAGAAGATGGACAAGAGTTATATTTCAAAATATCATTTTTTAAATAAGATTTTGGAGTTATTATTTTTATAACGGTAGCTCCATTATCCCCTAAGAGAAAAGTTGTTGCTACATATTACTAGACAATACTGTTTGGCAGAATTTTTAATTATATATTTTTTTTAATCTTAGTGTATTATTTTTATTACTTCGTTTTGTTTCCTCACTTTGGAATTCTTATTTTCGCAAAAATTAATTATTGCTGTAATGTGCATTTTTGTAAATTTTAGGAGCATTTGTGATAGTTTACGGAGGTTTTGGTAGATTGCACTTATTTCAAGCTGTTGATTTTGAAGAAATTAAAATCAAAATGCTTGAGAGTGCAAGTCAAAATCTAGGTCTTACAATAAAAGTTCTTAGTACTCCTATTACCTTAGAAGATTTTCAGCTTCAAAGGTTTGGTAAATACAGGTAAATTCTTTAGTAATTTCTTTTATGTTACAAATATATTATCATATTCGTTAACAGTGACGATGAACATCTCACTTCTGTATCTGAATTTCCTGTATATAAAGTACATAAATCTAGACACCCAGAGCCAGTCAGAAGAACCCTATGTTTGTCCGAAACTTGCCTCCTAGAAAGGGATCCACAGACATATAGTATATGCACACTTCGACCTTTAAGTGACATTTTCGCGCTAATACGTGACAGTAACAACCCCCAATTATTTAATATTGAATACATAAATGGTCTTGTAAGAACATACAACGCAACTGACAGGTAAATGCAATAATTGTCTTGCTACACAAATAACACAGATGTTACCATTTCGTAGAGATTCTCTTTTGGCATCACTCTTAGATGGTGTCAGAGCGTCTGGTAACCGCGATGTACATGTTATAATGGTGCCGACGGAAAGAGGTCTTCGTTTAGGACCCCTTCACTTGCCGGTAGAAGAAGAGGCCGAAAGTATCCATGTTAAATTTCTACAAAATCCTCCTCCTAAACGATCATTCTTTGAATGTGTTCGAAGATTTAACGCAAATGTCCCTTATAGCGGACTTTTATATAGTGTTACTCAAGATGTAATTTATACCATAAAATGTTACAAACCATTTTTAACATAATAATTTCAGGGTATTTTTTCGGAAAATAAGGAAAAATTAATTACGGGTGCCCTTCAAGCTCTTGTTCAAAAAGAGGGAGATCAAAGAACAATTTCATCTGTGGAACTTGAAGCTCAGTTTCACGCCTTACGAAGATTAGTCGCAAGTAAAGTTGGATATGCTGCGTTTACTACATTGCCAGGGTATGACAATCTTGACACCAGCAACAGCATTGGATATCATATCCGTAAATGTAGTTTCAGAGAAGCCATCGGTCATAAAGTTGTTTCTGCTTTAAAAAGAAATGACTTTGGTTTAACCCATGCAGCTATCGACATGATTTGTGCTTTGATGCATCCAATGCATGATGACTATGATCTTCGACAAGAACAATTAAATAAATCATCTTTATTACAAACTAAAGTTTTTTTGGAAAATTTATTAAACATGTGGACGACTCACATAGTAAGTATCCGTCTCACTTGCTTAAACGTTAAAAAGCTGGTGGTATCCATAATTAAAACATACTTCCTGCGTTAAAAAAAATCGCCTTTTTTTTAATGAAAAGACAAAACTAAATTTGCATCATATGCAAAAAAAAATTACTTATTTTTAGGGTTTAAAAAGTTTTTTCTCTTGAAACAAGTAATCGTATCGTCGCATTTGATACTACTACTAAACTAATTTTTATACGTAAGCAATATGTAAATAGCAGCTTTTTTGAAATTTGAAATTTTTATGCAGTTTTGTCAGATCTCGGCCTTTTTCTTTATGAACCTAGTTTTCTTTTTTTATATCATTCAGATCGTGAAAACTATTCACGTGTTCGGATGTTTTTGTCTATTTGCATTATTGAATTTTTCTTTCACGCATTATAAACACCCTGAATTTATTACGTGCAAACACTTTTTCGAAGGAACGTTAACTTTAATATACATAATTTAGCTAGTTTATATGTCGATAATTATTATTAAATAACTTATGCAAAAACTTATTAGGTTTTAAGTAATTTAAAGAAATGAGCTGTAGTTGTTAATTTCGTAATAGCGTCAGTTGATCAGCGGACTTCTTTCTAATATCGTGTGCTTGTTTATAATGAAACAAGTTAAAGCATTAAATTTTGTTCCAAAAGTTTTATAAAGTTTTGCATTTGTTATTTTACGGTAAGTGCCTAATTAATTATTCAAATTATGCAAATTTAGTCAATTTAAAATTATATTGCTCTCTACTGCAAATAAACACATCACCTTGCTTCGAAAGATCTGCGTAAAAATTATTTACTGGAATTAATTATAAATGTCTCGACAAAAATATACGTTTCCGGTGCCGGTGCGTTAGAGCGAAGAGAGTTACTGCGCTGTGTCCGGCAACACAATGTCCGGTGTATATTGGCGTAATCATTAATAATTTAATGTAGCCCCCTGAACTTTTGGATTGACAGATTTTACTACGTTTTTAAACATTTTTACATTATTATTTTTAATTTGCATTTTTGGAATTTGTACTTTTTAACACATTGAACAGAATTTTATCGATATAGATTTTATTTCATTTATAATTGATTGAAAAAGCTTAAAAATTAACTCGAAGTATTAATAATTACTAATTTATTAGCAAAAAACAAAAATAAAGTTAATCCCAAAAATCAAAAATGGATTTATTTAGACTGAACATGAAAAATAAAATATCGTATGTCGCACTAAATAATGAAACCTTTCATGTTAATTATATATCGTAGTTTATTAGAAATACACCTTTTTCAGGCCCAGGGCACTGGAGCCCTCATAGTTTCAGCAATGCTTGATGTTTTGACATTTGCACTTTGTGTTCCTTATAGTGAAACAACGGATGGTAAACAGTTTGACATACTTTTGGAAATGGTTTCGGATCGTGGTAGAATGTTATTTCGACTCTTTCAGGTGATATACAAAATTGTATTGTAAGCTTCGGGGTCAATATGTGAAATTACAGCACCCGTCAATGGCAATCGTAAAAGGTGCTGGCTTAGTAATGCGAGCTTTAATTGAAGAGGGGGAAGGCGAAGTTGCAGCGAAAATGCAAAATTTAGCGTTAGCTGAAGGTGCATTACCTCGTCATCTTCTAGCTGCTTTATACACTCAGGGTTCCGATGGAAGACTACTTACCCATCGACAATTATCGAGGCATCTAGTTGGACTGTGGGTAACAGGAAATCCGACGGCTATGGGACTACTAAAGCGAATAATGGTAACTGGTTGTAACGTGCGTTAGAAAAAAACTAAAATTTGGCTGTTGTAGCCAACTGGTTTGATATCATTCTTAGATTCTGAAGACAAAGTTCCTGAGCATGCCCTAGAGCAAGAACTATTAAATCATAGAGACAATTTAAAGATAGCACAAGACCATGCCAATAAGTCGAAGAAAAACCCTAACTGGGCGGCTGTCGAAAGACAACTGAAAAACGTCGAGAAGCGAGTTGAACATTATACAAATCTTGCACTTCAACATTGGGGTGCTCGTGTTGGGATTACCATTGAGCGGAAAGAAAAAATTAAAGAAAGACCTATAGTGTTGAGAAAACGTCGAGAAAGAATTAAGGCTGAAGCAAACTGGATTTTATTTTACTGGAAATTCTCTCAAGATCATGCTCTACCCAATTTAATTTGGAATCATAAGGTATTGCTATTTAGTATCACGTTTAAAATTTTATTTGCCAAGTTTTAGACCAGGGAAGAATTAAGAAGTGCCTTAGACAATGAAGTGAGAATGTTTGCCTCTGATCGCGAATTAGCTGGTTCAGCTCTAGTAGCTTGGAATCACCACGAATTTGAACTGCACTATCAGTGTCTTGCAGACGAAGTTAAAATTGGTGACTATTATCTAAGATTGTTGTTAGAAATGGATGACCATAATGACGATTCTCCTATCAGACGGTCCTATGAATTTTTCAATGATTTGTATCATAGGTTTTTGTTAACAAATAAGGTAGAAATGAAGTGCATGTGCCTTCAGGCTATGTCTATTGTATATGGAAGATACTTTGAAGACATAGGTCCATTCAGTGACACTAAATATATCATCGGAATGTTAGAAAGAGTAAGTGCTCAATTTTCTTTTAATTTGTAATTAATGTGGGTGCATTTAGTGCGTTGATAGAATGGAACGTGATAGACTAGTTATGTTCGTAAGCAAATTAATTTTGCATCATCGGAACGTGAGAGACATTTTAGAATCAGGAGGAGTTCGCATTTTGGTTGACCTAATGACCTTAGCACATCTGCATATTTCAAGGGCTGTGATTCCTACTCAAACCAATGTAATTGAAGCTGGACCAGGTATGCATCTCGTTCAAGAAAAGGAGTGGTATTATAATACTGAAGAGACAGGTCGAAACGGTCCTGTTAGCTTCGTAGAGGTTAGAAGTTTTCACTGTCAATATTTCATACTTGTTGACCATAATCTTGTAGATGAAAGACTTATTTAAGAAAAATGTGATAAATCATCGAACCAGATGTTGGGCTATGGGTTTAGATAGCTGGAAAACTGTGTCCCAACTACCTCAATTGAAATGGTGTTTAATTGCGAAAGGATCGCCAGTACTGAATGAGAGCGAATTGACCACATATATCTTGAATATTTTAATACGAATGTGCGAATATTACCCCAGCAGAGATGCAGACGACGCAATAATTAGACCATTGCCTAAAGTAAAACGTCTGCTTTCTGACGCCACCAGCTTGTCACATATCGTGCAACTTTTACTGACTTTCGACCCTATACTTGTGGAAAAAGTAGCCACTTTGCTTTGCGAGATTATGCGAGATAATCCGGAGATGTCAAAGGTGTACTTAACTGGAGTCTTTTATTTCATCTTGATGTATACAGGAAGCAATGTTTTGCCAATAGCTCGATTTTTGCAACTGACTCACATGAAGCAGGCGTTCAAGTCCGACGAGGTATATTCTATTTTTATTGATTTGTGATTTGTTCCATTTTTATTTTTTTAGGCAACATCGGACATAATGCAGAGGAGTATTTTAGGACAATTGCTACCAGAAGCTATGGTCAATTATCTGGAAAATCACGGCTCGGAAAAATTTGCACAAATATTCCTTGGCGAATTTGACACCCCTGAAGCAATCTGGAGCTCAGAAATGAGGTTTCACTGATTTTTGTGTTGTTGTTTTTTTTTTCACTATACTTTTTTTTTTGTAGGAGAATGTTAATTGAAAAGATTGCTGGACATATAGCAGACTTTACACCAAGACTACGTAGTCATACCATGGCACGATATCACTATATTCCTATTCCCGCTGTTCGATACCCGCAACTGGAAAGGGAACTGTTTTGCAATATCTTCTACTTGCGACATCTTTGTGATAATCATAAGTTTCCTGATTGGCCTATCCCGGATCCTGTAAGCGCAAAATAATATTAATGTTTTGTTTTTACCGTGTTAATTTAAAATTTTTATAGGTGAAACTTCTGAAAGATGTACTAGATGCCTGGAAGTCTGAAGTGGAGAAAAAACCACCAGCCATGACGGTCGAAGAAGCATATAAGAGTTTAGGGTTGAATGGATCTTTTCATGAAGAGGCTGCTGTTCGTAAAGCTTATTATAAATTAGCCCAACAGTTTCATCCAGATAAAAACCCAGAAGGCAGGGTGAGTGTTAAATTATTGTTACGATGCGGGCGAATAAAATCGGCGTATGTAAAAACTCAACAATTTATTTCTTAATAACTCGAATTGGCACGATTAACTATTGCAACGATTATGTACAGAAATTATTCCGGCGAATTTCACTCGACGCTCTTGACTCAACTAGCTGAATGAATAATGACAGATTTCGAACGCCGCTTCTAGGTTTCTTGTAAACCCCGCAATTGAGACTTCTGGTAGCCGGTTCCAGACGTGTCTTTATGCGAATGCCGTGTTCGCGTTCGATGAGTCATCACTCATCACCGGCGTGCGCATTATATTGCGCACCTGTGAAATACTTGAAAAAAAAAACACAGAATGATTCACAATGAACTCTTAAAAATTTAAGTGATTTTTAAAATTCTGTAAAATTAATAACTGCGTCAGACCGACGCGAATGTTTATTTACAAGTTTTGAGGTCGTAGTTAAAAATTTTGTAGACGCTTTTGAACAAACACACTCGTTGTTAATAAAGCTCGGAATTATATGCAGAAAAAAAAACATGTAAATATGGGCATATATATGAAGAGAAATTTGGCCTTATATGCAAAAAAATGCTAAAATATGCAAAAAAAATACTTTTTTTTTTTTACACATTAATATTTAATTTATATAATTTCTTACAACACTTATAATTTAGGTAATACATATTTGGAGTTAAACTACACATTTACAAATTAAAACCAACTATGTCGGTATATTCTATTACTCTGTTAACTAGTTACTCTCTTCAAAAATATTATTATTTACATGTATTATAATATGTTTTTATAGATTTTCCATTTTAAATGAATGTCATCGATCACTTAAAGTATGTTTATACACGGAAAAACTACGTCCTACGACACAATTTAAGGGTTTATATTTACCTCATCTGAAAACTGCCCATCTAAAACTTTTGCCACATTACTTAGTCTAGTAAAACCCCCATTGTTAATAAGGATTTCTCTAGTAAAACCCCCATTGTTACTAAGGATTTCGTCTAATTTTTTGAGACTGTTTGCGCAATAGGACCTTGTGCTTTATTGACATATTTTTTGAATTTTCTATTAGATGTACGGATTCATTTAAGGATACTTTTTGTTTTTCTAATTTTATTAATGTCACACCAATTAATTCGTAGTTGTTATTTATGAAACTTAAGTTCTGATTTAATTTAGGACTATTTAAAATCAATAATTGCAAAAAAATTGTTAAATATGTAGAATATGCAAAAATATGCATTTTGCATATTATCCGAGCCTTAGTTACTACGTACGTCGGCTACCACCTCGTTAGCAAAGTTCATACTCTTGATTGTGAATAGTGGAATTTACTTACTTATTATAACTATGAGAGGTTTTTTTTTTTAATATAACTGAAGTACTGTTTGCACTCCACAATTGTAACATACACTTCGACCAACTGAATAAGACATATAACCTTCATTATAGTGTATATTTTTTATTTTTCATAGTTGTCTAATACTATATGACTCATTTTCACCACAGGAACGTTTTGAACAAGTGAATAAAGCCTACGAATTTCTATGTAGTAGAAGTAGTTGGACCACCGATGGTCCAAATCCTCACAACATTGTTTTGGTGTTGCAAACCCAGAGTATCCTATTCCACCGTTACTCGGAAGGTAACATTAAAAATTTTTTATAACACAGGCCTACAAATTCCTTTTAGTATTACAACCATATAAATACGCCGGTTATCCGCAACTAATCAAAACAATTAGGATGGAAACTGCCGATGAACAATTATTTTCAAAAAGCGCTCCATTACTTGCAGCCGCAAGTGAGTTGGCATATCATACCGTGCACTGTTCAGCTCTAAACGCCGAAGAACTTCGAAGAGAAAACGGTTTAGAAGTATGTGTTTAATATTATAAATCCATTTTTTGACACAATCAAATCACAGGTGCTGCTGGAAGCCTACACCAGATGTGTAAATGTTCTAAGCAAATCTTCGAAACCAACCGACACGGCTGTTTTGGTTTGTACTCATATAACCAAATGCTTTAGTGTTGCTGCTCAATTCCAAGGTTGCCGGGAACGAATGATTGACTTGAAGCAACTTGTAAAAGATCTGTGCCGAATCCTATACTTCAAAGTAATTGGTGAAGTGAGTTTGTATGTTCCTCTGCTAACTTTTGATGTTCATTGCAGCATCTTACCAAACTTTGTTCTGTGGCTACAGAATGCGTCAGCGCTTTATCAATCGATTCTATACTTCAGTTGGAATTAATCAAGTCGGGTGCATTGTGGCATCTTTTGCTCTTTATGTTCAATTATGATTTCACACTCGATGAAGGCGGTGTCGAACGTAGCGAAGACGCTAATCAACAAGAAGTTAGTAACCGATTAGCTAAAGAAGCTGTAAAGGCTTGTGGGGCACTTGGTGGTTATTTTGTAGCAGAGGACGCTCCTCCCCCTAATAATTTGACGAGAAACATACTGGAATCACTTCTTACCAATTTCTTAGCCAATCAACTAGGAGGAGAGAATCCCGAAGAGGTGAGTAGTACTTAAAGTAAGATAGTATGAATTTGTGTAGAGAAAATGAATATAAAAGCAACACGGAATAATAATTTATTTCAGATTTTGAAAACCCTAAACAGCAATAGCGAAACACCATACTTGGTTTGGGACAACGGTACAAGAGCAGAACTTACAGATTTTCTAGAGACTCAACGCAGTGGTAGAGAAGATTTAGATTTTGGTGCTTTGCCAGAATTCACGTATTCTGCACATACTGGTGAACTACGAATAGGTGGAATTTTCGTTAGAATATACAATCAACAACCAACGTATCCAATTCAGGTAATTGGGAGTAATATTACGATATATGTGACATATTTTTTATTAATTTTGTTTTAGAATCCTAAAATGTTTGCCACAGAACTTCTAACTTTCCTATCGGAACAATCAGAGCATCTTTTCAATTTGGTAAATATAGCATATTCAGTCACCATAGAAGATAGGCTGAAACACTCTGTGATGGCTCTGGAAGCTTTAACAAATGTGATAAGAAACAATACGTCTGTCGAAATGCAGAGTATAGGACACTTCCGTTTATTATTTAGTTTACTTAACGTAACTCACAGTCCAATACAAAAAGGTGCACTGAACGTAATATCAGTAGTGACCAGAAATAACGAGTGCATCAATGACATCGCCGCCACTGAAGTTCTCGGCTCTTTGTTATTGGTGTTGTATACTATACAAGACTCACAACCTCAGATATTGGACACACTTTACGCTTTAATGTCAACAACAAAAATTGTTAAAGAGGCCCTGAGCAAAGGTGCTGTTATCTACCTTCTGGATCTTTTCTGCAATTCTACCAATTCGCAAGTACGGCTAACGTGCGCAGAATTATTAGCGCGAATGAGCTCTGATAAACTAGTGGGGCCTAAAGTGAGACTATGCTTGGGAACTTTTTTGCCACCAATTTTCGCAGACGCGATGAGAGACAGTCCTGAAGCGTCTGTTAATATGTTCGAATCGGCACATGAACATCCCGAATTAATATGGGACCAAGAAGCGAAAGACCGGGTTTGTACGTCTGTCGCTCGCTTGAGAAGAGAGTAAGTGTTTTATGTCCAACTTAAGTAGGGTTTTTAAAACTGATTTGTAGACATCAGACTGTCCAAAGCACTAATCCTGCAGCGCTATGGAAAATACCGGATGCCAATGGTCTTACGAATTTTGCAACGCCAAATGAATTTATTGTGGGAGGGGTTTATCTCCGTATTTTTATCGCCAATCCTGCCTGGACTCTTAGAAAACCAAAAGAATTTCTTTCAGAACTGTTGGAAACATGTTTAACTCTTATGACCAAAGATAAACCCAATGTGAGTATTTCAGATACTTCATTAATACGTGTTTAGACTTGCGACCACCTTTCCGAAAAATTAGAAATCATACACATGTTAACTTTCTGATTCTTCTGTCTTGTATTTCAGCGCCCAAGTACTTTCGTTATGTGTGTGCACATTCAAATTTATCTTAACTTATAAATGTAACCAATGTATTTTCCAGACTGAACTTCTAGAAATGGGAACCACCGCTCTCTGTTCTTTATTACAAGCACAACCGGCTTTATTAGACCTCATTCCTTCTATGGGCCATATTCCACGATTGTGTAGACAGATGGGTGCAAACATCCGACAAACTATTGTACCCAAGTCGGCGATACTTATTTTAAATGCATTATCAAGTAGCAGTGTATGTACCCTTCAACTGAGCTTTACGTATGCGCTAATTTGTAATTTTTTAGATTTGTGTTGCGGCAATAGCACAAACCGAATGTATGCATCCGTTAAAGCAAGCGATGCAAGTACGGAAAGACATGGTCGCTGTTGCGTGTGAAGCTCTTCACCGTTTGTTTTCAAACAACCAAGATCAATTAGTCAAACAAGCTCTAGACGTGGAGTTTGTTCAGTTCCTTTTAACCTTGTTGGAAGGACGACTGGATATCATTGACAACCCGGCTATGACAAAAGCTCAAATTGTGAAAGCGTTGAAATCAATGAGTCGTAGTTTGCTCTATGGTGAACGGGTTGTCAGTATATTGGAAAAAAGTCCCATTTGGGCCGAATATAAAGACCAAAAACACGATTTGTTTATTTCGAGTGCTCCAGTTGCTGGTTATCTGACAGGTATTGTTTATTTACCGCCGATGTTTTTTCTCCTAATACCAATCCACTATTCCAGCAGGAACACCAACTGCAGCAGGTTATTTAACGCAAGGTTCAAGTGCCAAAGTAGCATTGCAGCCACCACCAGTTGATAAAGAAGATACCGCCTTAAAACCAGATGGTCTCTAATCTGTACACTGTTAAAATACAGCGTGATATTTATGACACTTGTGCTACAAGTGGATTGAGTATTGTGTAAATACATTCCTAAATTTACAAGCAATAGACTTAACATTTGATAAACTTAGTGTAATTTTATGTAAAATTACATTGTAAAAATTGTAAATGTTTAGGTATAACGTTAAGTACTTTGTATGCTTTATTAAGGTTATTATTTATGCTTAACAAAAATATATATTTTCTATCATAGAAGTGTGTTTACTGTGCCTCCGCGGTAGACATAGTCTGGAACCTCGGGAGCGGATGCCGTTCTCTGGTGGATCCGCACAAGATTGTGCTTTGGCAATTGCTAAGGATGAACTTGGCGTGTAAAAAATCTTAAACAATGACGACCATAAATAAATCAGGTATGGAGCTAAAATTGTCGCAAGACCGGGTCTGTACTTGGGTGTCACACATTTGGGAATGAAGGAGTCGGTAGACTGGATATAAATAACTTCTATGATTTGACTGTGGGTGTTGGACAGTCATTGACAATGAATATTTGCGCTAAAATCGACATCTCGCCAGGAATCGTTTTACTTCGAGCTTAAAAATTTCAATTTCTGCCTAACTCAGACTTTTTCGTCGATTGTAATAGTCCTGAACAAGCAAGGACGCAATTTCAAGATTGAAATTCAACCACTTGCTCGCTCAATCGTAAAAGAGTTTCAATAGTCTGGCCTCATAAATCATCCCTCGCATGGTCCTACCATTCTACACGCATTCACAGAAACATGTCGAAGCGTGGCTAATGTGTCATTCATGTCTTTCGTGTCAGATCCGTACTTAAAATTTTAATGGGCAAATAGGCATTCTATGCTATAAAAATTCAGCCCATAAACCAATCTTATCCAATGCGCCAGATTGTCTTATTATGTGATGCATTGAGTTTTTTTAAGTTTAAAATCAGCCTTATTTTGAAACCAAGTCGTGAACTCTATGCCCGACATGTAATGAAAATGTTATTTCTGTTTACAGATAACCACAACATAACCGTTAACTCACACATGAGACATGTGGAGAATTGGTGCTTACCGTACCTAGTGCTACCTGACGTGCAATTGATAATAAGTGTTTTAGCTGAATCATAAATTCATCTCCCAAATTGATGCCATATGTTTTATTTACAAAGTAATTTTTTTCGTTGTTTAGGCTCTCTTCAAGATTAATCTAAAGATCTAATTTCATATCAAAACTTCCCGCCTTTAATTGACCTTGAAAAAGTTTGAAAGACAGCGAAAAAATCAAATTTGGCCTTGGCTGTGATCGTCTAACAAATGGGAACCTACGTTGTGTTTTTTTTTTGAAAAGTGGCGGGAAGACGTTTTTTCATACAAGTGCATACATTGCGTGTGAGTCGAGAGCGCAGGAAATAATAGAATTAACCGCGCGTGTTAGAGACACCTCAGTGACGTTGGCTACCATTGATTGTCGTTAAACAAAGGCTTCCTCCCATTTTATTAAGTACCAAACCAACTAATTTAAACCTAGCTCTTACCACGTGTTTACACTCACACAAGCACATTCAGACTGACGCTACGCCATGCAGCCTCTGTCTAAAAGCCAACCCTCTAACTAAAAACCCCTAGCGCTAAATTGTCCGGCTACCAAGCAAGCGTTTCCGTGCACCAGGTTGCCTATGTTTAACGATTTTTTTTTATGGAATTTTTTTCTCTTTCAAATTCAAATTATTCAAATATGATTTCGCGCTGCTGTTAATTAATTTCAGCGCGAAAATTTTGATTTAAATTCAGTCACCAGAATACAAATTTTTGTATAATGGCGTTTATATTAACATGCTGCAGAATTTATCCCAGACATTTCTCAAATAAGTTTGTAAGTCGCCTCTTGAACACTATTCCACCACAATGTGATCTAATTAGCCTTTTTATTTTCTTTAATCGAACGATGAAATCCAGAACGAAGTTTTCTGAATTGAGGCAGGTATTTATTTTAAACTAGCTGATCCTGTGAACTTCGTTTCACCTACAATTTAATTTTGAATCTGCAAAACTGAATGCGTTGAAATCTTGCAGATGTTTTAAACATATGATAAGCATCATAAATTTTTATTCAAAATATATTTACTTTATTCCCTCCAAAAAATTGATGGCGTCAGCCCAAAATTTTGCCAAATGAATCCTATCTAAAATGTCCAAAATAGGATGAGACTATACTTGTGATTTATCATTCCATTCATATTTTTTAGTTTTGCTTATAGGGGGTGTCTCAAAAAAATTAATCACTGAGTCAATTTATTTTATTGATTGAATCAAGAATTGCAAAACTGAATTTTGAAATATTGCAGACGTTTTGAAGTTACTGTTTGACATGGTAGGTTTGTAATCAAAATATATCTGTTTATCAAGCCCAAAAACTTGATGACGTGATCTCAAGATTTTGCCGAATAAATCCTATCTAAAATGTGCAAAATATCATCAGTATATTGTCGTAATTTATCATTGCATTAATATTTTTTAGATTTGCTTTTACAGTGACTCAAAAAAATATTTGGATCAGTCAATTTATTTTAGAAAATAACTCAAGTTGCAGAAACGAATACTTTGAGATCTTGCAGACGTTTTAAAATTATTGTAAACATGGTAAATTGTTAAGAATAGTTATTTACTCCCCCCAAAAAATTGATGGAACGGCTTACTCGATTTTCGCAGATAATTTTGGGAATACAATACAGTTATTTTTAGTATTACACTGCACCAATCCAAGGTGGTATACATGTTGATCGTAAATGTTGATTAGGTCATCACAAAATTGTGTGAAGAAAAGACTCAACTTGAAAATGCTGAATATGTTTCATTATACTTTTGGTGCGAAGGAAGTTCTGTCGAAACAACGGTCGATCAATTTTTTGACAATGGTTGATATAAATAAAACTCAGTAGATGCTCATACTCGAAATACGAAGTATCTACTCGAATATCAAATCAAAAGATTTCTAGTTTTTCTACATAATGCTAATACTTCAGTACGTAACAAATGATGCTCAAGTAGCATCTCGATATAACAAAAAAGGAAAACAGTGACAGTGTCCATCAAGGCAAAACTCGAGTCACCAAAATATAAGTTAGTATGGGGTAGACACCTTGAGATGGGAATCTCTCTGTTAGAAAAAACGCACTGCACAATTTATGCATAAATAAAAGTCAATTACCTGAAAAATTTTCGATATTCCCGCTCCTAATGTGTTTTTCAAACTGAATGCACCTTTTGACGACGTTCCACGTTCATGAAAGTATCCATGTTTAGTTCACTCTTACAACGATCCTACTCGTTTTCTAAGCTGCTTTACAGACAGCTCAGTCATTTGCCATGCCGATGCTCATTTTTAGATTAAATGGTCACAAAACGCATAGGTAGATGTTCAATTTGTGTCAGGAGATGCAATGTTTTCAAGTAGGTACTCAGTACATAGAGTAGATGCTCAGGTATATAAGAGTAATAATGAAGTAGGTACTTCGTACTTCGAATATGAGTATCTATTCAGTTTTATTCATACCACCCAATGTCTCGCTTCAATGTTCGATTATGTTGATTATGAGCACAACGCTGATCAACTTCCATATCCGAATTACCCATGAAATAATTCATTGCGGATTGACTTCGTGGACCTATGTCAACTTGTCGTCTTCTCGGCTTTGTAATGAACTTCATAAAACGACACAGAATTATTTTCACAGTCAATCAAATCTGTAAATTTTGTCTTGAGAATTTTAAAATATGGAAAACTTCAAATTAAATTCTGGAATAACGGTAAAGTTTGAGGTTTTGTCGAAACCAACAAAGTGACTATAAGTAAATAGAATGGCAGATCAAAATTAATAAGACACTTTCGCAATGTGTAACTAAATTCACTTTAACCAAGACTTTTCTTAAAATGAACGACGTTTTTTTTTACGAAAAAACAAAGAACGACTTGAAATGCAATATACTTTTCACAATCGCACGGAAGAATTAGTTTTGTATGACACGTCAGTTAGACGACATGTCCGTCAGGAACGCCAACTATTCAAATTAATTCGAAGTGGCGATTGCCATGCAAAATTTTTAGAATTTTTTTATCTTTTAACTGAAAATTTGGTCTTGAAATATTTATGGAAATTCAGAGAAGGTTTAAACGGTGAGAAACAAAAATTCTAAAAAAGGAAATTCTATTTTCCAATACAACATGTTCTGAGCTGTGAAACATTTGATGTCTTTTGTCTTTTTAGAAATAAAAGATTGTCACTTGGTTGACAAGAAGAAAAGTGCTGTTTTTAGGGTTTTACCGGCAATTATTCGAATTTTTCTCACCTTTTACGAGTAAACCTTCCCTAGACCTCCACGGACATTTCAAAACCAAGATAAGATAAATCCGTTCAGCCGTTCTCGAGTTTTAGCGAGACTAACGAACAGCAATTGATTTTTATATATATATTAGGGTGATTCAAAAAAAAAAAATAATTTTTTTTTTCGTGTCAAAGAGGTTCAAAAGTTTCTTTTCAGCGTAAAAAAATACCAGTTAAAAGTTGAGCTCTTAATATTAATATTAAAACCGTCCGCATCGCGTTTTTCTATTTCCCATAAGAATAACATGGGAAAATTTTTGTTTGCACCTTCTGATTTTTATTGCTAGCCCGTCGTGTGTCGTGAAAAAAATTCAATCACATATTTTTATAGAGAATTGAACGCTCTACAAAAAGTGTCTCCTATGATTTTGCGAGAAACCTGACTATGATTTTTTAACCCACTGATGCTGAAAATGTTCGGAAAGAGTTTTACTGGCCTTATTATAGCATAAAATTATAAACAATTACTGTTTAAAAAACTAAATTTAAAATGTGTATAAATTTTTGTGGTGATTTATTCCAATAAGACCATCAAATTTATTGTAATGCATCAAAAACGTCAAAATTTGGATAAATTTAACTTTAGCCTAAAATAACTCTTCAACTATCAGGTTTCTCGCACAATCATAGGAGACACTTTTTGTAGAGCGTTCAATTCTCTATAAAAATATGTGATTGAATTTTTTTCACGACACACGACGGGCTAGCAATAAAAATCAGAAGGTGCAAACAAAAATTTTCCCATGTTATTCTTATGGGAAATAGAAAAACGCGATGCGGACGGTCTTAATATTAATATTAAGAGCTCAAATTTTAACTGGTATTTTTTTACGTTGAAAAGAAACTTTTGAACCTCTTTGCACGA